ATACAAGCCTTCCGTATTTTTGTCATTCCGTAATTTTGATCTACAAATGATACCAAATCGCACAGTTGTGCGGAGAGAATCGCACAACGGGGCGAACGATTGCTAAATCGCACAGTTGTGCGCACCATGTGTGGACGATGTGCGGACGGTGTGTGAACGATGTATGCACGGTGTGCGCACGCTATTTTTGGTGCGTTGTGCGGTCCCACAACTGTACATTGTAAACATTGAAATCAGACCTTATTACATGGCGGGTATGATCTTTGTAGCAGAAGGCACTTATCCTGTCAACATACATAGTTTAATTCTCGTCATAGTTTCCTAGTGTTTCTCATGTACTTTTTTCATTTTTCCATAGTTTGCACTAAGCAAGTAATTGTTATCGATTCTGAGTTTGATATTTTGGTTTTGATAGCAGGTGTGTATTCTTTCTCTTTCTCTTTGTTTTAATAAGAAACCTATACATAAAAATTGGGATTTGTTCTATACATTCTTACCCAAAGGTAAGTCTGATTTCCACTTACGTATATATAGTCGTTCGGGATTCATTTTCTAGTTTTTCCCATAATCTGTAAGCCTCTTTCATCATCTCTGTGTAGTAATCGGCATCGCCATAAGCCATCCTGAAAATTCTACTTTGTCCATGAGAACTTCCGCGAGAATGAGGCAGGGGGAACTAAAATATACAATGAAATACTGACACAGGTATACGGAATGTCTTTGGTGAGTGAAGGCGTCCATACTATTATCGGATCAATATGAGCATTGACAAATTTGGCCCAACCACGAGTATATCACATTTATATCTTGCATTTATCCTTTCCCGCCTTTTAATGAGGCCATTAAACACTATAAAAACCTAACTAAACTTCTATCGTTTTCTTTTTCTTTTTCCATCGATGAATTTAAGATAAACAATTGATTAATTATGGATGTTTGATGTAATATGCATATTGTTTGTATCATATCTATATCAGTATCGTCACGGATACACTTTAGCGGAAGGTAAATTTAACCGAGAAGTGACCATGTTCATACAATATATATGCTAAAGCATCTTGATAACAAAACATTTGCATGGAAAACATGTTCAAGGAGAGGATAGATATAAACATAATCTTTTGTCATGTGGACCCACAGCTCCTTTTCCAGAGACTAGTCATTGTCAGTAGAGAACGTGAAGATACTTTAGCCTTAGTTTTCAGCTACGAGTTATGCAGTCACCCTCCTGCTCTGTTTGAATCCTCATGTCTCCCCCTAAAGGCCGACAAACCAGTCCTAGCAGATGCACTTTAGAAGGTGTTTGAACATGGTTGACACGAGAGCAGACACTACCCAGTGGTAATGTTAATAAAAGGATTTAATTATTTTTTGTTGAGGTTTATGCCCCATAAACCTCAACAAGCTGAGATTCTATCCTTATATTTACATTCAGAGCGATATTGATTTTTGTTCGGATAATATCTAAAATATCGGTCTTGTGCAAGTCTAACACCATGGAAGGTATCAACTCTTATGACGTCATCACTTACTGTGAGACGTCGTCCTGGTAAGATGAATAAGCAAATCAAGATGTTAATTATTGTTTGAATTCAATTGAATACTTCTGACAAAAAAAAAAAAAACAATTTGAAAACAATCTATGAATGGAACTACTTCCTGCGCTCCTCGGAATAACAGAGTAACCAGGTTGATACTATGCTGATGTATCCATACGCCAACTGAAAAGTACATTGAAAAATAACCTTTAAAATGTTAAGTAGGTATATAAGTCCAAGTTCAGTAGAAATATAAATATTATGTTTTTGATGGTGGTGCTCTACTGCACCATTTTCCTTGGCCGCGTGGGGGCTCTTTCAACAAAATATGCCAGCTATATGTCAATAATGTCAGCAACAAACATGGAAGGCCAACAGTTGTTTTTTATGGCTATCAAGGCGGTCTCTCAATCAAGGACGCAACACATACATCTTAGACGATCAGGAGGTTGTCAAGGCCTGACTGTCAACTTTGCAGAGGACATGGTAATCAAATCCAAGAAAAACGAAATTATTGCAAATGAAATTAACAAGCAACGCTTCATAAACCTACTCAGTTCCAAGCTCGAAATGCATTGTTGCACTGTATCTCATGCAAGAGGAGATGCAGATCTCTTAATTGTTACTACAGCAGTAGAAGCAGCTAAGTTTAAAGACACAGTTCTTGTCGGGGATGACACAGACCTTCTCATCTTGCTGATCTTCTACGCTGATCTGAATGCAAAGAACGTCTTTTTTTTGCACCTGAGCCCAAGGCAAACTCCAAGAAGAAACGAATATGAAATATCAAACAGCTGAAGGAAACTCTAGAAAGTAGTGTGTGTGGCGACATTCTCTTTGTCTATGCGGTTCTGGGCTCAACGTCTCGCATATTTGGACTAGGGAAAGGCGTAGCACTGAAGAAAATCATGAAGATTGATGACTTCTGTGAGATTGCCAAGGTGTTTAGTCAGCCAGCATCAGACCTGAAGGAGACCATTATTACAGCTGGGGAAAAGGCACTTGTATGCCTGTATCGTGGTGACTCAACAGAAGATCTAGATTCTTTGAGGTACAGAAGATATTGCGTAAAGGTATCATCAATCTCGTCTGCCGTAGAAACCAATACTTTGCCACCAACTTCAGCAGCAGCAAAGTTCCACAGTCTGCTATGTACTATCAGATATTAGAATGGAAAGGAATGGCAGACGACCTGACACCGGGAGACTGGGGTTGGCAGGTCACGGATGGGAAGTATCTTCCAATGCAAACTGATAAACCACCAGCACCAGCATCACACCTTAAAGTCATCAGATGTGGATGCAAGAAAGACTGTGCAACCTAGAAATGCACGTGCCGGAAGTATGGCATCCAATTTTCAACAGCCTGCATTCATTGTCGTGGCACTAGTTGCTCCAACTCACCACCACCAGACCTACTACTGACCAGCGTGCCACATAAATGTATGTTTGTTGGAGACTACCAACTGTAATAACAACTAAGCTGAGATTTTAAACCAATATATACATAAATTATAGTTGCTCTGGAATGCATTGTGGATTTGTAAGTATTTATGCAAACTGCAGAACCTAATTATGATATATTTGAAAATTTAAAAATATTTTACAACATGAATAAGTGTTGTCGCAATTATTCTGATATTACATAGGTCAAGAATTATGATTATAATCAATTCTCTACACACAAAAATGCCTTAATTGGCAGCCATTTTGAATTTATGCAAATTAACACACTTAATTAGGCACATGAAACCTTGTGCAAACAAAAGCATTCTTGAAATTACCATTTTAGACATTCAAAGTACACTTAAAGTATTCTAAAAGGTATGTAAGGTGAACATTTTGACTAAATCTAGGAGAAAACAGTTGGATTGGCGGCCATTTTGGATTTATGTAAATTAGACACACTTCCACTACACGGATTTTTTCGGACTTTTAGTATGTCATTTTGGGGACCTTACTAAAATACATTGCAGTGAAAAAAAATGTATTGCAATTTGTTTGACCTCAAAACACAATATTCCTAGCCTAGTTGGTTGTTTATGTTTTTTGTCCTAACATAAAGTGAATCCCCTATGTATTACTCCCTAAAGTGTCATTATCATTGGTCAGATGCTTAGTTTTCCGTAGAGGGACGCAAATGACGAAGTAAATAAAATAAAACACAATGTACATAATGAAATCGGTTCTTTAGTTTAGAACAACAAAATGTCCGGACAACATTTTTTTCAGTTCGACCACTTCCTATATGCCCGTTATCGTCGTTCACTTTGTCCTGTTTGATACAAAATGTCGGCCCCTTTGCTTTTTAACAATGGCCTTTGCGTTGTACTAGTATCTATAAAATACCAGACTGAACTTTGTCCATTATGTTATACATGTCGGACTTTGTTCTGTATAAGCCGTCGAAGTATTGGAATTTGTCTTGTTTGAGTGATACTGAAGATTGATGTCAAATTGTTTCAAGCTTCACGATTTCAAAATCTATTCAGTTACATGATATAATAAGTAAAACAACTTTTTATATTCTAATTTCATTATAAATGTTGCAGACAGAATTATAGATTATTTTCAGTTGGTCAACTTTGTGATGATTTGTATTAACGATAGGAATAAGAGAAGTAAGTATTTTGGACTCGTCAAGCCATGTCCTACGAAGTCATTTTACTAAATACCGGAAATGGATGAATTTTGAACTATGTTAGGAGAATTAAACTTTTTTCACGGCACCTACAATTTCTGAAGTTGTCATTCATTTGTAAAGGAATAAGATGTTGACCCTTATACAAAAAATTGTACTTACGGGTGTCTAAGAAAATGTTAATATCATTCGTTCATGATTAACATATTTGGCATGAAAGACTATACCAATATCAGTCTGCAGCTTGGGTCAAAATCTTATTAAACATTAAGTCTTCTCCTTGTTTCTGTTTATCGATATAATGGATGAGAATACCTAACCAACTGGTTGGAAATTTGACCCCACTTCGTGGAATTTATAGAGCACCAGCGTATTTACCGATAAAATACATAGCATGGTTAGTTTTGTTGTAAAATATGCTCATTTGAAGGCAAGAACTATCAAAATGTCGGAAATGCGCGAATCCACCTGACCATTGCTCTCTTGCTTTCCTTTTTTAACAAAATATCTAAAGATAAATAAAAATGTAGCAAAGTGCCTTTAATTTGAGAATTAAAAAGGGAATAAATTGCGTAATAAATCTTTAAACACTCGTAGTTGCATTTTGTTGGATCTAAACTAGGATACCTACACTGAAGTAAGTAATTGTAAATCGAGTGTAGTTTGTAAATTGTGCCGGTTGTATAATTTCATGATATATATATATGTTATTAAACTAAAATCAGGTTTTCTTATCTTCGACAATCTGAAGGGATATTGTACGTATGGTGTCTGAACATTTTTTGTATGTGTTATTAATGACGGACTACTGTGTGTTTAAGTACATGACCCGGGCGCCATCCAGATATAATTGTAACGGACCATTTCGGCCTTGACCGACATTCTAGTACACAGAGGGATCTCGGTTTACACGGTAGACTGGCCCCGTCTTTAGAATATCGAATTATAAAGAAGAAAAAAAACCACTCAAAAAGTGTTTATCACTTTGATATCTGATTCCAAAAAGTTCTAAACTAGGGGGAGATTAGCTAGTAGTAAAAACTTAGGGGCTGGTCGACAGTCTATGTCCACGGTAGTGGTTTCGGAATAGTTACTAGGGTATTTACCCAGCCACCACGCTGATATTGGGCCAATGTCGGTTGAAGGACGGAATATCGGCTAAATATGCCATTATTGGGCCGACGTCGGGCCGTCATCACTATTTATATATATGTTATTCAATATATATGCAGGACCACACACTTGTGTTTTTCTAACGAATCAGAAAGCACGAGTTTATTGCGCGGACGAATATATACGTCCGCGCAATAAATAAGTGCTTTATGATTTGTTAGAAAAACACAAGGGTGTGGTCCTGCATATATATTGAATAACAAGTGTGGTCTTGCTTTTATCACATTCCTTCCGTATTTGGTAGAGATCGATACAACGATTTTATAAACTTTGATATTTTTTTGCAAATACCGGTAACAAGGGGATTCCCATAAAAAGTAGTTCCGGCTAGTAGGTAAATACAACATTCCATATTGCACATGTGCAATACAGAACGTTGTATTTCATGGTCTAAACATTGCTTGTATTACTATAACAAGATTCAGCAGGTAAATTGTATGTGATAAATTTATTTCTAACACTTATATATTACCACAAATTATTTAAAAGAAAGATTAGGCTGGTTTTTATGCTTGATTGCAACAATAAAAAATACATAAACATGACAAAATGATATCGGCCAAACTGCGGACCGGTGTCACCAAAACAATATAACTCGGTTACTGGCCATACGATGTCGCTACGATGTTGTATCATAAAGAAGTATTTTATGGACATAACATTATGCATCTGTCTAATGCATTTATAAAACTGTATTCAATAAGTGTCAATGCTAAAGTAACTTAAAAATTTATGTCAAAGTTTCAATAGATAAAAGTTTTTTTTTTATTATATACAAACATAAATGTTTATTCAATGCGGACCGACTAACCGGAAATTGCGCCAGATTTGTAACAGGTTACCGGCATTTTCAAAACTGACAGAACAGACAGCAGGTATAACGGATATGGACAGTGTGTTTGGATTATTTTATGATCAGACAAAGCCTAGCTAAAGGTGATGAGGGTAAGCTGTTTTATTTCATACGAACATCTAGCCAGTGGCAATCATGTTTTATATATGAGTAAATACATGTACTAAAATGTTAACAAGTTGATTGCATGCTGAATGTTTAAAAATTACAAAATAAGTGTGTATCTATATAGTTATATCATTTTAAAACTTATATTCTGCACCTCATGGTGTTTAGCTGCATGTTGAGTTCTTACATGATTTTATATTTATACCAAGAGTGGTGTGTTCTTACAGGGAGTGGTATTGACTTTGTTTTGGTAGCCCAATAGTCATATGTAAGGGAGTCTGCCATGATGAGGTTACATGTGTACAGTGAGGCCCTAATCTCTGGGGGTTATGATATTGTATAACAGGCTAATCATGTATTGGAAGTATCTTGTTACATCTTACACAGATAGAAGTACACAAAAAAAACAGAAATTACCATTGAGATCACACTTGGTAATGGGGAGATTAATACTATTTACTGCTGGCTACAGTGCACTCGCATGGCAATGTTTTCGTTGATGATTTGGACAATATGTCACATAACCATTCTGTATCACTCCATCCGATCAATTCATTGTGTACCTGAAGACGTCAATGCCTTTTTTATTTTGTTATTTCAGATCTCACAAAGAATATGTGGTATATGTTTATATATTAATACTATATATATGTGAATTTATTTTTAACACTTAACAAATACTTCTATTCATTTCAGATGGTGTGACGAAAGTTAAACAATTCTTAACGGAATAAGTGATGACATAGCGATAACCACCTGAGAACGGCTTGATTAGTTATATACTACTAATACATGTTTATATTTACATGTTTTTCATGGTGTTTTTCTTAGTATATTTTGCTGTTTTTTTCTTTGATATTTAGCATGTATATATAGAAACAATATGTAATAAATGGGAACAAAAGTTAACACGCCATGAACTTGTCAAGACTACGAATGTTTACAAACTTCAAAACTGTGGTTATAATTAAGTTTATTGTATCGGTACAGAAAGACTGCAGATTGACATCGGGCCAATGTCGGGAAAACATTCGACCAACATACACATGTTGTCCAGATACTGGGAAGAAAATGATTTTCATGTTGGAAAGACTGCATATTGACATCGGGCCAATGTTGGGAAAACATCGGACCAACTTACACATGTTGTCCAGATACTGGGAAGAACAAGGTTTTCATGTTGGAAAGACGTCGGATAGACATCGGGACGATATACTTGCCGATATTGGAACGAAATCAAATTGTTATGCAAAAAGAAGCTGGTCCGATGTCGGCCCGTACTTAAAACCGACACTGGGCCGATATGGAGGACTGCAGATTTACATCGGGTCAATGTTGGGACATCGACGGGCCACCTTACATAGGTTGTCCAAATACTGAGAGTAATACGGTTTATATGTTGGATCTACGTCGGATAGACATCGGGCCAATATACTTGCCGATATCGGGCCGACATCAAAACGTGTTGTCCGCCCTTAAAACCGACAATTGGCCGATATGGACTCCGAATTCGGCCCAATGTCGGCCCGATATCTGTGTGCTGGCTGTTTAAAGTGCCGTGTCATCGTTACGTAAACAACTGTATATATACCGTTCATCATGCGACTCACAGAATGTGCACTTGTTTAATCAATAGATATCAAATTAAAAATTAAAACACTGATAATATGTTATCTATTGTGGCTGAGAAGAGGTCTCACCTGTTCAAGCAACAATGTGCGTTGTCCATTCTTGACCAAGTTATATGCTGTGGACGAGCCCTCTATCCCCGCTCCCACGACGATCGAGTCGTACACCTTCATGCCTTCTCTCTCGTGGTGTACTCGTATGTACAGGTGATTTATTTACAGGCGTTGAATAGTATATGTTACGTGACACGTGTGATAGAAATTTTAAAGGTCATGCGTATCGCATGAGTACTCCTGTACTGGATAAGAATTAGCCAACCATATACCAAAAAATATCTAACGCTCACATTTGCATACGTGTTTATTTATTTTCCCACCAAAATCGGTGTCTATTTGATTTTGTTCATTATCATGCCCGTCATCTCTTATGTACATAATATTTACAATATAAATACATACTATTTATAAATAATTGAGGTTTGATTCACTTTTATCTGTCTACACATATATGATTCCATTCAAATTGACTAATATCTTAATCTAAACTCATGCATCAGTAGATAAATACATAAACAGAGGTAATTATAAAAACATCCTACTGTATTAAATATGCAGTACTGACACTGTAAAGGGAGGTAACTAGGCCTTCTTCCAACACATTAAAACGTATTTAACACTTTGAAGAAAAAGCCAATTTATAAACACATATCAGAATAGATGCATGAAGAAAAATTAAATATGTATATCTCATATTCACGTACTTATAAATATGCTTTGAAGTATTCTTTCTAACAAAAACTGCAAATTAGTTTCCCATGTGTGCGTACTTGTTGGTATGTTCCGTTGTACCTTTTGACTGTATGAGTGTGGATTTCATATGGTAAACCATGCATATTTTTCTTCTTCCCAAAACTGCTCAAAAGAACAATTTGAGAACATGCATCAAGGTAGCAGCTTTTAATCTGACGTCTTTTCCAAATGAGAAAACAAATGCACATTCTTATGAATATCTTTTATAGCGCTTAATTGGTAGGAGAGTGGGCAATTGTTCATAATCATGGTAATGCGATGCATATAGGAAAACAATGCAGATGAGTCGCTGGTTCTGAGGTAAATGTTTTAGAGAAACAATCAGTAAAACTCGTATTGATCAATTTCATTATGGTTGGTATTACATTTACAATTTGATTACATCTCTCTCATCATTAATATTGTGATTGGTATAAGATCTTCTGTCGGTCTTTGTTACTTTGAGGGAAGTAAATTGTTAACTTTTACTGGTAAAACATATCAAACGGAATATCAGTTTGTTTTCTAAATAAAACAAAATTGTGTCACACTATGATGCAGTATACTTATTCGTGTTGATGTTTGATGGGTGCATACACCATTATTGTAGCCACAATGACATTTCAATATTTGAATCCTTTATAACTACCTGACATATGTTAAACTATTGTTGTGTTTTATTGGCAAGTATTAAATGTTTCCCGCATATATTTTCCTCTAATTAGTACAAGCTATAGGCATATAAACATTTGCAATAACCCGTCTATGACTTACATTTATTTTCAAACATCTACATAAATAGATTTACTGATAATGCTACCTGGATCGATCGCGGAGTCAACAAATGTTCGTTACCAACTGCACTCATACTTCCGTATACGCCGTCAAAATGAAGGTCGTTCCTTAAAAAGTGTAAAGCGAAAAAATAATATTTTTTTATACAACTTCGTTTGTTTTGTACGAACATGTGAGTTTATACTTGTGAGGTATATTTGTACTCCATTAAGACTTTGTTCAGTTTGACTTTGGTTGCCCTCTGCTTATTGTCTCATATTATACCCGTATAAAAAGACGTTGTTAAGATCATTCTTATTCATGTAGGCAGCATCTGACACGGTCAAATGGCACAGTCAATCATTTTCTTTTCTAGCAAGTGACACTTTATTCAATGTTCTATAGGCTAATGAAATTAATATTAAAGTCACTCGACGGAGGTGTAATAACTTGTGTTTTCAAATTTCAAATCACTGTTTTGAATAATTTGTTATATATGCAATGTTTTATACAGAATCTTGAATAATATATCAAATGTTCACATGTCAAATATACGCCCAGCAAGCACCATGTCCGCCATGTACCTGTCATTTCCATTTTACTTCCAATTCAGTACGATAAATCCACAATTACAATCGACAAGGCTGTCATAACACAATTAAAATATCCTTCTCCTAATCATCCGTAGACCTCAATATCCGAAGGGTCGGCGGCCTATGGACTGTAATGGACAGATGGTTGATCTGGGTTAGGATATGGATATGGTCTTATGATAGCCATTTTATCATATACTTGTCATGAAGATGATATTGCATGTTTCAATATATACTGTTCTATTAAATCAAAAATATTTTCGAACACACAGATATCGATTTGAACATATTACTAGGTTTGATTGGTTTCCATTAAATCATGTTCCATATTGATATGATTGTCCGGGGAATTGTTCGTTTTGTCATTATAGGTTCATAATTTGGATGACTTGTTGAATCGGTCGATCCTAAAATGAGACATGTTGTAGGATGGCGTCTTCCGCATGACCAGCTCAGCGAGGACTTTCCCTACAACTGGAGATAGCTTGAAACCATGCCCTGTAATACAAAGGGACTCGATATATAGACATCTCGACATACAGACAGCAGTTGGTCAAGTGATCATTCATTCAAATCCCGACATACAGACATCAGTTAGTCGAATGATCTTTCATTTAACTCTCGACACACATTCAAATCTTGACATACAGACATCAGTTAGTCAAATGATCTTTCATTTGAATCTTGACATACAGACATGAGTTAGTCAAATGATCTTTCATTTAAATCTCGACATACAGACATCAGTTATACGAGTGATCTTTCATTCAAATCTCGACACACACATTCAAATCTCGACATACACACATCAGTCAGATAAAAGGTCATTCATTCAAATCTCGACATACAAACATAAGTCATATGAAAGGTAATTCATTCAAATCTCGACGTACATATATCAGTAAGACAAACTCAAAATAAAGATTGATACATTATTATCGAGCAGCAAAGCGTAACACCTGGCAAGGATAAAATGTGTAGGAAGACAATTGTATAAGCGAGTGAATATTGTGTTACTTTTACACAGTCCGATATCACAAACTCCAAATAGCGTTTTTAAAGCTCAAAGGTACCACTGCATCAGTAAACATCGTAAAGAAGGTTTCTACTCAACGATTTATTTCCCTTTTGTTTTTGGAGTAGTCTCCCTTCCATAAAGATGAAGCCGTCAATAGATTTACTGGATTAGATATATTCCTATGTCATTGTTATTATTTGGCTTTCATGCCCATAATTTGGACATTCATATCATTGCTGTAAAATATTGTTCGCATTACAACATCGGGAAAGTGTAGGCTTTGTATAGTGAAGGTACAGAGTTCGACCATTCTATTGTTTTTCTGTTTTCTGTTTTCAATCTATTTTCAAACAGTTAAATTTCGAATAATTTTAATTCTTTAAAATGCATGATGACATGTGAATCTATGGGATACCTTTTTGAAAAGGGCCGAAACAAGTATTTTGCAATAGTGGTAACGGTTTGATGGTAACCTTTGCCTCAAAAGAATAACTATAACCGCTGATGCTGATAGAAATCATTATAACATAATGGTACATGTATATAATTTCATGAATGCATTGCATAAACAGATGTCATCAATTTTACAAAATCATTAATTAACTAAAAAATAGCCAATCATACAGACACAGTATTATACCGAATGATTTCCTCACGTCGTGATACAACTGTGTACTCAGGGCATGATTTTTATTTGGTACCCATATCGTATTGTCCTTAAAATAAAGGAATACAGAATGGGCTTAATTTTGCGTATTTTTGTAAATTAGTGAAAATGTCTCTTTAGGATGTCAACGACGACCAGACAACAACTTAGCCTTTACAATATAAAATACAAGGCACGTAAAGGAACATGAGATATTTAAGTCACGGGTAATCGGACAAACGTCATTGTTTAAATGACAGAGATCCATGTTAAATTGAACTTTTGCATGATTTGTAATTGCAATTGTGTTGTACTTCACCCACCCATCAACCAGAGAAGCTTTCACACTGGAGGAATAGTTAGTAAAACTGAAAATTTAAGTTTGTACAGAATACAACTATCCGTATCAGAATTAGGGAGGCACACACTTCCCCGGGAGGTAGGAACACCATCCGCCCGCAAACATAATAAACGAATGTACATGTACATGTAATACAGGTGAAATGTAGCTACAAATTAAACCCACCTGAGAAGCCAGCACCGATGATTATGTTCCGCCAGGCCGGATGTCTGTCCAGTACAAAGTCGTGGTCCGGAGTGTTCTTTAAGAAAGCAATGCTGTTTGTATGGCAAGACTAATTTACACACAATACGTAGAGCTGCTCTTGTGGGTACACTTGCAGAACAGGTACATAATACGTCATAACAGGCGCCGAATTTTTCTTGTGTGAAACCCTTACTTTCAAATTATAAAAAGACCACCCTGGGACCGTGAAAGAAACCTTACTAGAATGTTGTCTCATTTTGATTTCAAAATTGTTAATGTGATGTTACACACAAGTATTGCAAATTCAAACCTCCCACAACATTTGGTGTCATCATCATCGAAAGAATCATTAACAAATTATCCAAGTAGAAATTGTCTATGAGCTGGATGTTCTGTGTGATACATGTCAGAACTAAGTAGTTAGTATATTCCAACTATTAATATTTTTCTTTAATTTGTGGGGTAATGGAGGGGAATTTTGATACCTGTCAAGTGCAAGTCGAGAGCGGGGTGCGCGCATTACTTATAGCAATATAATAGATACGGCTTTCTTTGAAGGAGAGTCTTGCTGGGATACGCATCGCCTGAATTAACAGTAATACATACGACTATCAGTGAAGTAAGTCATGCATGAATGACCGTTGTCAGTATCACAGATACAATTAATGTTTTTTTTTCTGTGAAGTGGGAGTGAAATGTAATAATACGACTTTCCATTAAGTTTAAGATCCTTAATGTTAGCTGGCCGTGAAGTAAGAATAAGGAGGGAAATGTCTAATACCCATGACTTTAAGGTAAACATGCGGCTTGTCGTGAGGTTTGAATCGGGAAAGTATGGTCATTAATCATCCTTACGGTGTATATACGGAGGTCAGTGAGATTAACGTGTGGACATTTACGAATTCAAAACGACCATTGTCAATCACTAATGAAGTATAATTGTGAAGCTCATTGTGAAGAATAGTGTGCATGAAATGATGTTGACTTTAGAAACGAACCTCCCTCTACATATACTTACTATGTAAACACATGTTTCTATAATAACAGGATGAGGCTTCAGAAGAATGTTCACACTTACACTGTTAAAACATGTTTCTGTGATACCAGGATGAGGCTTCAAAAGGATGTTCACACTTACAGTGTAAACACATGTTTCTTTGATAACAGGATGAGGCCTCAGAAGAATGTTCAAACTTACAGTGTAAAGACATGTTTCTGTAATAACAGAACGAGTATCATGAAGAAGGAAAGTGCTTAAACTTACAGTGTAAATACATGTTTCTGTAGTAAAAGGATGAGGCTTCAGAAGTATGTTAACACTAACAGTGTTAACACATGCTTCTGTAATAACAGAATGAGGCGTCAAAAGAATGTTCACACTGCACATGTTTCTGTGATAACAGGATGAGGCTTCAGAAGAATGTTCACACTTACAGCGTAAACACCCTTACAGTGTAAACACATCTTTCTGTGATAACAGGATGAGGCTTCAGAGGAATGTTCACAATTACAGTGTAAACACATGTTTCTGTGATAACAGGGTGAGACTTCAAAAGAATGTTCACACTTACAGTGTAAACACATGTTTCTGTAATAACAGAATGAGGCTTCAGAAAAATGTTCACACTTACAGTGTAAACACATGTTTCTGTAATAACAGGATGAGGCTTCAAAAGAAGGAAGTGCTCAAACTTACAACGTAAATACAAGTTTCTGTGATATTAGGATGAGTATCCAGAAGAAGGAAAGAGCTTAAACTTACAGTGTAAATACAAGTTTCTGTGATAACAGGATGAGGCTCCAGAAGAGGGAAGTGTTCAGCGACAAACTTTTTCATTTTATCCAATACCCAGGTGCTGTCAGCGTCGTCTCGTCTGTCAGGGTCAATTTCTGGTCCGGAGTGTAGGCACAACTAGAAGTAAAAGGAATTCGTAACCCGTCAGGATCTGCAACTATCAATTTCTACAACATCGTAATGTTTTTCTAATGGAATTGTTATAATTCATTGATTTTTATTCCCGTGAACATTGATTGTCAACATTACACATATATACTAGTTCTTATCCGAGGGGACACTCTGTCACACTCTAATGAATGTAGTATTTTTGTTATTGTACCAAAGGTCCATATAATTAAACAAAAATCAAATTTGTAACAAATATTGTTTTTCCATCAACAAATATAATAGTGAAATTTTCAAACTTTAACAATAAAGTTGGTGTTATAAACACTGAAAAATATCATGGCCGCAAGATAACAATTCAACTATTGAAATGGACGATCGGGTTACCGAACAGCTTCTTCATATCATCATCAGTGATGGTGTCCCTGTGTTTTTCCCCCTCAAAAACTTCGTTTTTGCATATCAATCAAAACTGATTTGTACATGTTCGTTAGACGGGACGCTGTGTGCTTTTCGAGTCATGATCCGTGAAAATTTTATCCAAACCAGCAGACGGCCGATTGTTTATCCTGACTACCACGTGAATTAAGCGCTGTTCGGCATAGCTTGCGAAGACAACAATAGTCTGGTTGAACGAGACTAACACATCTCATCGTTACGTTTACGTAATAACAAGCGGTGAGATGTACACGATAGCGACATGGAGTGCATGTTCACCTACATGGGCGATGAATCGCAATGCGAAAGCATGAAGGCTGAAACGAACCGTACGCGCATCTTGTTTGCGCGGTCACTATTTTGCACTGTCACACACACTGTCTCCCATTGCTAAGGCGTTTGGAAGCACCCTTCCGTTGATTCCATATTAAAGCAAATGTGACAGTGTGTAATGAACAATGTGTCGAGACCGATCAGATTTTTCACAAGAGATAAAATAACGAATTTGGAATATGAATGCCTAATTAGACTACTGGACTTTTATCCTTCCCTTATCTAAGAACAAGTGAAAAGTTTTATGTCCCCCTTCTTACAACGTAAAATGGTGCATACATTGTTCTACCAACTGTAACGTACATGTAGATACCAGAGAAGTTAGCATGTTCTCCTGGAAGTTTGTTTAATGCACATAACTTGACCTAGGTAACCATGTACACTCTCTGCTGGGTTAAACAAAATACTGCTTGTTTGTTTTCTTGATTTTTTTCAATTAGGGCTGCAACGATACACATACCTCACGATACGATGAGTATTGTGGTACGATACGATACTTATTATGATACAAATATCTGCTAAAAAGGTTCACTACATAATGAATGAGTGCAGGATTGTATAACGTTTTGTTATAGAATTTGATAGTAAATACTGTAGAAATCAAATTTTGAATACTTTCAAATACTGGCATACATCTCTACCGAAGGGTTAAAAAAAACCATGTACACTTATTTAGAGTTTGATAAAAGGTTACTGATAATTTAAGTAGTGTTAGTGTATTGCGATACGATACACCATAACGTGTTGCGATACGATACGATACATCGTTGCAGCCCTATCATATCACTTCTATAGACAAAAGGAAACTCCTGATTCTGCAGGGGGTCGCCATCAGTAACATCTACCGCTTACAAGCAGAACGTTACACCAGACCTAGTATTCCCCCGTACAGAACAGCGTATTCATTCTCAGCATGTTTATATAACTAACGAATACAGGTGATTACAAGCGTGGTCTAGCTGATTCCTAGCTCTACGCTAAATATCAGTAACTGTGGAAAACCGGCTTTGTGTACCTACCTTATCAAACTATGGTATTCCGAGGTCGTTTTGTTTATACATACCTTGGCAGCCTTAGCTCGAACAGTATTCAAGTTTTATACTAAGTTTGGTATCCCAAACTCGTCATGTTTAAACATTACTCATACAAACATGAGCTCAGCCTATACGTATTTACCTTATACAAACCCGGGTATTCTAGGCTAGGCATGCCATATACATCAAAGCTTCCACGGGCGTTACCCCCCAGAAAAGTTGGGAATTTATCAGCGCCATACGTTCCTGCAATCTTCTCTTTCCAGTAAAACACACTGATACGTAGCACCTAGAAAGTACAGTAAAATAACATTCGTTTATATAAATCGTTACGTAGAGAGTTGAACTGTTACGCACTATTTTATTAAACACTGATAAGTTCTGTCTAGGATTTGAGATAAACCATATGTATTTGTATTTCCTTGTGGTTTGTAAGACATCGATAGCTATGGAAAGATAAACACGCTGAAACAGAATGGTTAAAGGTCCTTATACAAACCATGTCCTTCCAAGGTCCGTCTTTTTTTATAACTAACATATATTTTACATGCTTCACTTTAATAATTCAAGCCTGGTCCATTTCAAAAACTGCATCTATCTGATACAAAGCAAGGTATTCCAAGCTCAGCACATATATCATGATAGTCTTTTAATTATCATCAATAATTCCATGATCAGATCATGTGTAGCTTTAAATGGTATTCCATAGCCGTAGAGTAAATATGTTTTTAGAAACCAGGTTATTTTAACCACGATCGATTCTTAACTACTTTATCAATGTACATATGTTCCTATTCGGGTTCTGTAAACAAACATGCCTGTATGAATCATCGTATCGAAAGCTCTTTTTAGTTATATATAGAAAACATACAAACGTATGCTGATCAGCCTAACGAGTGAGTAGTATTTATCTATTGGTCTAAACGTGAGGCTTAGAAGTGCGAACTTTTATTTCAGTAATTACTAATCCAACAGAAAAAAGAAATTGAAAAACCTGAGGCTGATAGTCTGTATGCATCGGTGTTTTTCTGTATGCAAAGCTTGTCCCGTTAGTCTTTCTGTAAGTACATACAAATGTACGTACGAATGACCAACCATAAATATATTTATCTAATATTAATAAGTTTGTCTCAACCTTCTAACCCCTATATATATGAGTGTTGCTCACGTCAATCAGATTATTGAGCCTTTACAGAGCGTTTACTACCATTGTGTCATTATTACCTTGAGCGGTAAATGTATGCCGAGGGGAGGAAGTACTTTCGTGGCCCAAGGTCCGACAGCCAAGACTAGGTTCCGGCCTCTATAACTGCCCTTGTTTGTCTTGACCGTCACGATGTCTCCCGGGAATACGTCCACTAAAGATTCGTTATCACGCAGGACGCCTCCGTGCTTAATAAACTCCCTCTGGAAAGAATAATCCATTACCTGATTTCAATGTTGGCAATCGTACACTGTTTTTATTTTGTCATAACTGGTACAATAACCATTTTACAACTCTTTACTTGATTTAACCGAGGTTTTCAAAACTGAATATTATCAGTTAAACAATAAAATATCTTTTTCTTAAGTTCAAAAACATTATTTAGCAATACTGAAAACAAAATATGTGAAAATAATTGCTTTTGATCGTGTTAGGAAACAATAAGGCAAAGTTCTTGGAACAACTAGGACAGTGTCTTCTTTCTTTCGTGTCAATGTGAAGGAGGGGACTCCTTGTGGTGAGTGAAAAGGAGGGGATACCTTGTAATACGTGTTTCAGCGGAATAATTTACCTGAAAAGCCGCCAAAGCTTTATCGGCGAATAGAACACCCCCACTGTGATCATCCACGCCCGACACATCATCGGAATAGGCCAACATTGGATATTTCAACCGCAGGGCCTTTCCGTCCAGTGTTGTGAACGGCACCGAGTGTTTCCGAAGTGCCTGAACAGTTCCATCAATTAGTTCGTCTCCGGCTTTTCCCACCAGCAGAAGTCCTGTTTTTCTGTATTAGATATGTAACATTCCCCTGCCTTAAGTTCTCTGCGATGTAAAATATAATGGTGAGTGTTTATTCGGAACACACTGTGTCTTTACCTTCTTAAGACGTGATCCTTTTAGAGGTGTGCTATGTTTGTAAGATGTTACAGTAACATTTTCCGCACGACCATTTAATTAGTTGACATTTAAAACATGACTTACCAGCACAATAAACAGCTTCTAAAATGCCCCTGCAGTTAGTCACTAGTTATCCGATTTTACGAGTTAAAGATGAACTGGTTAGCCGAACCAACTTACATTGTAAAGATTGAAATCAGACCTTATTACATGACGGGCCTGATCTTTGTAGCAGGAGGCACTTACCCTGCCAACATACATAGTTTAATTCTCCTCATAGTTTCCTAGTGTTTCCCATGCATTTATTTTTTATTTTTTCATAGTTTGCACTAAGCACTTGTTTGTAATCGATTCTGAGTTCGAATTTTAGTTTTGATAGTAGTTGTGTATTCTTTATCTTTCTCTTTGTTTTAATAAGAAACCGATACATAAATATTAGTTTTGTTATATAAATTCTTACCCAAAGGTAAGTCTGATTTCCACTTACGTATATATAGTCGTTCCGGATTCATTTTCTAGCTTTTCCCATAATCTGTAAGCCTCTTTCATCATCTCTGTGTAGTAATCGGCATCGCCATAAGCCATCCTGGTAACTCGACTTTGCCCATGAGAACTTCCGCGAGAATGAGGCAGGGGGAACTAAAATATACAATGAAGTACTGACACAGGTATACGGAATGTCTTTGGTAAGTTAAGGCGTCCATACTATCATCGGATCAATATGAGCATTGACAAATTTGGGAAAATCAATAACGGTTTAATAAAACATAACTAATTTCATGAAAAATTGATTGTTCATTTAAAAAAATGACACCAATCTTGTATGTGGTACTAAAAGCCGTATTAAATATTTTAAAAGCCTGTGACATGGACCATACAGCCCAAACACGAGTATATCACATTTATGTCATGCATCCCGCCACGGATGATTCTATCTAATACAAATATAGCGTCAAAACATACCCTACCACTTTGATCGCCACCCATGCAGGTCGGGCAATGAGAAAAGAATCAACATGCAGTGTTCTAAGGCATGCTCGCAAAAGGCGACATATGTGAAAACCCTTTAAAGAATTTGGGATGTGCGTTTTTGGCTTCTACTTGGAGACATAACAACGACCAAAGTAAATCTGCTTCACCCATTGCAGTAATTTGGATCTTTATGTATCTCATCCATCTACCCTTTGTTTCCTAGCGCCTTGCATGGCAATAACTCGCCTTTTGTTTTACTGTTGAACTTTCACCCAGGTGAGGAGGGCAATGGTTCTGTCTCCATGCCGTAATACATCAAAGTCCTTCAACATGGTAATTACTATTCACTGCTTAATGTTTAACTTTTGGAGAAAACACAACAGCTGGTTGAGCCGTGATCAGTATAATATGATCGGGCGGAATGCTTTGTTTCGACATGTTATTTCAGTGCGTCGGCGCTACTACTAGGAAGCAAATACACCAACATACACTGCCTCCTGCACACAGACGGGCGCTACAATAATATAGTTGTGACCCGCCTTTTAATGAGGCCATTAAACACTATAAAACACTATAAAACACTATAAAAACCTAACCAAACGTCTATCGTTTTCTTTTTCTTTTCGTTTTCCATCGATGACTTTTTGATAAACAATTGATTATTTATGCATAATTGATGTGATCTTCATATTGTTTGTATCATATCTATATCAGTATCGTCACGGATACACTTTGGCGAAAGTTGAATTTAACCGAGAAGTGACCATGTTCATACAATATATGCTAAAGCATCTAGCTAACATAACATTTGCATGGAAAACATGCTCAAGGAGAGGACAGATATAAAAATAATGTGTTGTCAAATCCTTTTGAATCGCCAATAATGTTTCTTGAAATAAAACGAAATACCTTAACATAACAGTTGATTGTTTATGTTTTTTGTCCAAACATAAAGCTTAACAATTTCAAAATTCCAAAAGTTACATGATATAATATGTAAGAAAGTATTTATACTTTAACTTCATTATAAATTTGCAGACAGAATAATAAATTATTTTCAGTTGGTCAACTTTGTGATGATTTGTATTAGCGATAGGAATAGGAGCTGTACGTATTTTTGCAATAAGATGGTGACCCTTATACAATTTGTCGATTAGGGATACTTTCACAACGGAGAAAACGTCAAAATAAAATTGTACTTCAGGGTGTCTAAGAAAATTAAAATATCATTTGTTCATGATTAAAATATTTGGCATGAAAGGCTATACCTACATCAGTCTGCAGCTTTGGTCAAAATCTGATTAAACATTAGGTCTTCTCCTCGTTTCTGTTGGTCGATATAATTGATGAGAATACCCAACCAACTAGTTGGAAATTTGACCCCACCTCGTGGAAATTATAGAGCACCAGCGTATTTGCCCATAAATACAAAGCATGGTTAGTTTTGTTGTAAAATATGCTCTTTTGAAGGCAAGAAATATCAAAATGTCGGAAATGCGCGAATCCATCTGATCATTGCTCTCTTGCTTTCCTCTTTTAACAAAATATCTAAAGATAAATAAAAATGAAGCAAAGTGCTTTTAATTTGAGACTTAAAAAGGGGAGAATAAATTGTGTAATAAATCTGTGAACACTCGTAATTACATGTCGTTGGATCTTAGCTAGGATACCTACACTGAAGTAAGTAATTGTTCATCGAGTGTAGTTTGTTAATTGTGCCTGTTGCATACTTTTATGATCTATATATATGTTATTAAACTAAAATCAGGTTTTCTTAGCTTCAGCAATATGAAGGGATATTGTACGTATGGTGTCTGAACATTGTGAGTATGTTAAGTACATGACCCGGGCGCCATCCAGGTGTAATTGCAACGGACAAGTTCGGCCTTGACCGACATTCTAGTCCAAAGAGGGATCTTGGTGTACACGGTAGTGGTTTCGGAATAGTTACTAGCGTGTTTAACGTGCTGTATATACCGTCCATTCTTGACCAAGTTATATGCTGTGGACGAGCCGCCCTCTATCCCCGCTCCCACGACGATCGAGTCGTACACCTGTATGTCTATAGGAGATTTATTTACAGGCGTGGGATAACATATGCTACCTTACACATGTGATAGCAATTTTAAAGGTCAGGTATATCGCGTGAATATTCCTGTACTGGATAAGTATTAGTCAGCCTTATTCTGATAGTTATTTGAGTCATAGTTTGTCGTAGGGGAACAGATTTGACGTTAAGGATTGCGTTGAAAGGGACATCACGGTGAAGTGTATATTGTTTTGTCTTTTTGTTCAAATGCTACATAAACATATCAGGTGAGTACATTTTAACACACTGTCACCCGTTATTAGGGCGTTCGGAAGCACCCTTCCATTGATCAATATTAAAGCGAATGTGACAGTGTGTAATGAACAATGTGTCGCGACCGATCAGATTTTCACTAGAGGTAAAATAACGAATTTGGAATACGAATGTCTAATGAGACTACTGGACTTTTATCCTTTCCTTATAAGAACGAATTTCTCTTAAAGCGAGAGTGATATTGAAGATTGATGTCAAATTGTTTCAAGCTTCACAATTTCGAAATCTATTAAGTTACATGATATGATATGTAAGAAAGTATTTATTATTTAATTTCATCATAAATGTTGCAGACAGAATTATAAATTATTTTCAATTGGTCAAATTTGTGATGATTTGTATTAACGATAGGAATAGGAGAAGTACGTATTTTGGACTCGTCAAGCCATGTCCGATGCAGTTTTACTAAATACTGGAAATTGATGAATTTTGAATTATGTTAGGAGGATTAAACTTTTTTCACGACACCTAAAATTCCTGAAGTTGTCATTCATTTGTAAAGCAATAAAATGTTGACCTTTATAAAATGTGTTGATTAAGGACACTTCACAACGGAGAAAATGTCAATCAGATTGAAAATTGTACTCCAGGGTGTCTAAGAAAGTTTAAATATCCTTTGTTCATGATTAAAATATTTAGCATGAAAGGCTATACCTACATCAGTCTGCTGCTTGGGACAAAATCTGATTAAACATTAAGTCTTCTCCTTGGTTCTGTTTATCGATATAATCGATGAGAATACCTAACTAACTAGTTGGAAATTTGAACCCACTTCGTGGAATTTATAGAGCACCAGCGTATTTGCCCATAAAATACATAGCATAGTTAGTTTTGTTGTAAAATATGCTCGTTTGAAGGCAAGACATTTAAAAATGTCGGAAATGCGCGAATCCACCTGATCATTGCTCTCTTGCTTTCCTTTTTTTAACAAAATATCTAAAGATAAATAAAAATGTAGCAAAGTGCCTTTAATTTGAGACTGAAACGGGGAGAATAAATTGTGTAATAAAACTGTAAACACTCGTAATTACATTTTATTGGATCTTAGCTAGCATACCTACACTGAAGTAATCAAATTTAAATCGAGTGTAGTTTGTAAATTGTGCCGGTTGCATAATTTTATGATATATACATATGGTATTTAACTAAAACGAGGTTTTCTTAGCCTCGGCAATCTGAAGGGATACTGAACGTGTCTGAACATTTTATGTATGTGCTATTAATGACGGACTACTGTGTGTTTAAAGTCCATGACCTGGGCGCCGTCCCGTTGTAATTGTTACGGACACGTTCGGCCTTGACCGACATTTTATTACAAAGAGGGATCTCGGTGCACACAGTAGACTGCCCCCTGTCTCTAGAATATCGAATTATAAAGAAAAAATTAACTCAAAAATGTTTATCACTGTCTGATTCCAGAAAGTTCTAAATAAGGGGGAAATAAGCTAAACAATTAGGGGCTGGTAGCAAGTCTATGTACACGGTAGTGGTTTCGGAATAGTTACAAGGGTATTTATCGTGCTGTATCATCGTTACGTAAACAACTGTATATATACCGTCCACCTTGCACACTCTGCAGGTACATGTTATAATCATGCGACTCACAGACTGTGCACTTGTTTTTATCAATAGATATCAAACTAAAAACTAAAAACACTGATAATATGTTATCTATTGTGGCTGAGAAGAGGTCTCACCTGTTCAAGCAACAAGGTGCGTTGTCCATTCTTGACCAAATTATATGCTGTGGACGAGCCCTCTATCCCCGCTCCCACGACGATCGAGTCGTACACCTTCATGTCTTCTCTCTCGTGGTGTACTCGTATTTACAGGAGATTTATTTACAGGCGTGCGATAACATATGTTACCTAACACATGCGATAGTAATTTTAAAGGTCAAGTGTATTGCGTGAGTACTCGTGTACTGGAAACCTTATTATGATAGTTATTTGAGCCATATTTTGTCGTAGAGGAACGGATTTGGTGGTGAGGATTGCATTTAAAGGGAATGTATGTATGGTATGCACTTCCACTTATGTTACCTCGCTATCCCCATATTCATAGTCTGTTCCAAATGTCTAGTTTGACCGCTTGAATTGTTCGGGAAAGCCCTGCTAAAAATAGCGCCGATAACGTCACCTGACTAGCAAGCTGAGCGAGATGAAACGGTTTCAAAAGGGGCTCCCAGAGAGGGGCCCCCAGAGAGGGGCCGTCAGGCAACTACAACTTCTTACCGCACTATGAAACCAAATAATATAATTATTTATCATCAGAAGCTAATTGCACACTTGCCAATATGAAATATTTTTTTAGCTTTAAACATATTTGTTGCCAATAAAATGAACAAGGGATGGGGCATACGTTTTTACAATCTATCACAGCCTTCTCCCGTCATACATTTACAATTAAATGTCAACAATGATAATAGGCATAAACATAAGGTATAAAGTATAAAGATATATATATATATTGAATTTATTACCGGAATGTGACCGGTCCAGATGGTACGGGGCTAAACACCTTCCCTCAACCATGGGACAAACCTTTCTGTAAAAAGGAATATATGCACTTTATGAAAACATTTGAAAAGGGATATTCGTCTCGTGAATATGTAATGACAAACTACTAGCGTATAAAAAAAGAGAAACGTTTGTGATTTTTTTCATTACATTGTTCAACTCAATGTCTTTGGCCATTTTTCTTTAGACCATGCATATACATTTATGTATACTCATTTTCCCACTTTCACTGTCTCCATACGCTAACACTAGGTAAGTCATATTAGCCATCACACACAACAAACTGTATGACAATACCACTTCGTGTACATGCAGAATATGTGTCAGATATGGAACGTTTTGAGATTCTTGATAATTATATTTTTTCAATACTTTACATAGATTAAAGCATTCTTGTAAATGGACCCTTCTTTATGTTGAGACAACTTTACTTTCATCATTTCTTTTTTTTTCCCGAAACAGAAGCCGTAGTTATCGGCAGCACGCGTCATTTTTACAACGAAAACAAATGTTTTCCCCCTGTTTTAAATACGTATTCCTATTCTATCTGAAGTCGAAAATTAATTCTTTATAGCGAAAACGTTGTCAACATCATATGAAAACATGAACTGTTAACAAATTACGATTTAAAAAATAAAATGTTATGCGCCCTATTTACTAGAAGAATGTTCTCCTTCCTACGTTATTCATCCTTGTCCGTCATTTTGACATTTTTAATCTAGCTGCGATAACGTAGCTTTCTGACGAAGAGAGATTTTTTATATATTGCGTCGTCGTGCCAGAGGAGGCCGGGTATTCATATTAGTACTAATTTAAATCTTGTATGTAAAAACAAAACAAATCGTTTAATTCAGCAATATAATTAAATCATACCATTTTACTGAACCCGGTAATATTATAAATTATGTAAATCTAATAGCGCACGTATATCATTTGACCCCGAGTACCGACAGAGGAGAGAACAGAATACGCCAGAAAACAATGAAAGGAATACATTTGATTGTATTTTAATTACAATAATTAGTTTCATTTTTCTTTGTTTCCAATGCCACTATCATGTGGTTTAAATGCTTCATAGCAAAAAAATGGTGTCACTGGAGCTAACACCGGCTGCTGCCTCGGTTTATATTTATTTATATGTTTTCATTCAGAACCATCAAATCATACTCTGTTCTGTCCTCCTTATGATAACACACACACAGATAATACACAACACGAGTACAGTACATTGAAGTGACATTGGTTTTGATAGAAAAGTATGAGTATGTAAGACATTTCGCTACTGATAATGCATCATTGAAATATTGCAACATAACCAATGATTAAAAAGGTTTTAGAAAACAGACGAGAAACGAATTTCATAAATAGTGATTAAATGAATAATCAGAGGATTTCATCAAATGGAAGGGAATACATTGTTTAATATAACTGTTTTGATCCAGGGAAAAAAGAAAGTAGAAAATCACTTTCAACGCCCTCATCTTTGGGTTGTATTCAGAAGAAATCCCAGGTTTCGGTCATTATCCATTACATAAACCACTGTATAATTATAGAAACACAAAGTAAAATCTCTCCGATACATGCCCATTAACAAATTAAACTAAGTTCATCTGTGTTCAAACTCAGACAAAGATACTAGCGAGGTTAATAGATTTAGATATTTATTCATAATATGAACAGCGCTAGCATTTCTGTCGATTCCATTTCAGCTTAAGGTCGTTGGAGTGTATTAATAAACGGAAATAGGAAGTACATCCCTAGTTGAAATTCCAATGTAGGGAGACAGTATCACAATTTCAGCATTTTCTAATGTTTAATATTAAACTGATGAATATTGTATGTTTATTATTGACAGAACAGTTTGTTCTCTCAATATTAAAGTATTTCAAAACAATCCAGGCATTAATTCATTTTTTTTTTATTTTTTTTTAATCAATGAGTCACATGTGTCCACTTTTCTTTACTTCAGGAAACCGGCTACCTATTTCACTACTGTGAAGTTTTTCAAGACAGATAACTCTTACATGCAATTCCTATGTGTTATGGATTTATTATAAAATGTCAATTTTTTAATCGTTTATAGATAATTTATTTTACACAATTTCAGCATTTATCAAATTGATATACATTAATGCAATACTAATCTATGGCAGTATTACTTTTATTGACGCTATTTTGCAAAAAAAACGTGTCTTTATTTTATTTTTCAAAATTCACTCCTTTTTACATAAATTTCCATTTAAAATCCTTTAAATTCTGACAACCCATATTTTTTTGTGGCAGAAATTCTTCTTTACTTAAAAGCAATATAACTACAAAATTTGAAGAAATGCTACTGAAAATTGGTGACACAATCCTATTACCTTAATTAACCGGCTATCCGGAAGAATACATGCACCGTACTAACTGCTAGGGCAGTTATTTTCTCCTTTGAATACTTCTTACCTGCAATAATGATTCCGTAACGTACTTCTTGCGCTATCTTTTGACCATTTGGCAACTTTTCGCTTCGAAGCTGACACAGTACAATACTTTTCTTTCGCTTACTTCACACGGCCAGTCATTTTGTTTACAAACAAATGGTGTGCTATGCATGCGCTAGTAGAGGGAAATCCATGAACAAACGTTTGTCAGACGGGTACTCCCATAACATGAGAGGCTGCTGGTCGGCCTTTTTTCTATCGGATATGATTTTGCCGGCTGCGACCTCTCATTTCCGAAGCATTATTCTTTGATGCAGTTTCCACCCGAAATCCGGGCGGAACAAAATCGGCTTGAAAAACTCACTTTAGTGGTTAACAGTTCATGCCAACGATGTCTACTCACGGTTTATATAATATATATCTCATATGTATGTCACAGACACAAATATATAGTATATTACGGAATAGAACACTCAAAATACATGTCCATGTCGTTGTAGCACATCTCTGACCTACATTTAAAACATGGCTTTCTGGATTAATGCGAAATAGCAGGGGGATTTCAAACGGAACGAAATGATACGGTGTTTGTTTGTATTCCGCTTGTGAAACATTACATGTATTCCATTTTTGTATTAACCGGAAAATCATGGCAAATGCTGTCTGCTTCGCTTCGAATGAGGAAAAACTCATTATTTATGTCTTTGACACGACATTTTTCTCATATAATCATGGATTTATGGAACGGAACACCGGGAAAATCAGCTATGGGCAGTAAGTGGTTACGCGGCGCATGTCAAAAGTTTTTCGCCGTGTAAAACCTCTAACATTGTTGGAGTAGTCAGACGGGTAGAAATACCGATGATTATGTTAGATTTAATCATTTTTGTGAATCTATTTCAGCCCAATCCGATATTTATTTTCCATAAGGATTCTCACTTGATATGTTTATGTAGTATTTGAAAAAAAAGACTACATAAACATATCAAGTGATCGAGTCTCCTTATGGAAAATAACGATCGGATTTGGCTGATATAAATATTCATAATTCAAAGTACTGAAAGTTCTCCAGACACATGCTTTCTTGATGTTGCAATGTGTCCATAGTTATATATATATAACATGTTAGGAAAAACGAACACAATACAGTCAGTTGAGATGCAGGATAAACACTATTTAAATTGGCTGAAAATGATATAAACGAATATTTACTTTTATCTAATGTCTGTGTTGGCAATAGACTGAAATGTATTTCCCCTCCGAGGACCAACAACAAGTACTGCTTCAAGAAGCTTTGGGCTCTGCTTCTGCCATTAAAAAAAAGTTGACTTACGAATTAATAATCATATGACTGTTGCAATATCTCCTTAGTGCTTATTGGTAGAGGGTGAAACATATATTTCCTACAGACCAGCAGCAGTGCACGTGTGTCACAAATGTCTTTAGGTCAACTAGGATTTTACCATGGGTCATATGTCAGTATACGCCTCTTCGTATGATTATGTTAATGGTAACGGCATGAAACATTAATCAATTGCTATATCCCCTATCCGGGGACCGGTGGAGGATTTATTAACATTGTGTCATAAAACAACAATCTCACTGTAAATAAATATTGTAAGACATGAATCACATCAAACTTCAGTTATCATTGTTTATGCAACAAAAAGGGAAGGCTTGTGAAAGTTATCTTGAGTTCACATTCAAAGTATTATTTTCTTACGTACGTAAACTAGGGGTATAGCATGGAATCCATTCTACAATAAGTCAGTCAAGTGTATTGTGTGCTATCATGAAATGTGCTAAGGCAATATTTAATCACAGTCCCCAACATTTTCCAAGTTGAGGGTCAATTAAGCTTAACCATTGCTTGCTAATTTCACATCATGTGAAATGTACTAGACTTGCCAGGTAAATTTCCATGGACAGTTACATGCTGTGCTAT